TTTTTTAAATTATTTATTATTTAATGTGTAATAATTTTTAAATATAATATATTTTTATTTTTTTCCGAAGTAAATCTATTCCTATGTTCTATTTGAAGAAGGGGTTTTGCCGGTAGGTAAAAGGTGTTGGAAACTCTTAACACTGTTATTCTGAATTCTGAATGGTTGATGAAATTTTATTTTTTTTAAAAAGAAAAAAAAATTTGAAGGACATTTTCTGATCTTAGGCTGTCCCAGAGATTAATGTTGTAGGGTAGGTTTTCTGAAAAACTGCTGAATCCCCCACTGGCAAGTAATTGATACTGTGGTCCTTCATTAACCGATTTCACACGATTTTTGTCGAGTGCCGCATTGAAGTGTATGAATATTGTCACATACAGCAGCACTGTGGTCCTACAATAATTTTTAATATTTATTTTCAAAAACATTAGTTATGATTAATTACTTAAGTAATTTAATAAGTATTTAAGTTTTACGTTCGAGTTGCATGATATATAAATATAATAAAATAAAAAATAAGAGATGATTACCTTACATTGTGTGATAACAATAATAAAAAAAAAAGTTGTGTCACTTAACAGTTTAAAAATAATTATAATTATAATTATTGAGTTATGATAAAAAAAATTTATTACTATTTATTAATTAACATATTAAAATCAACCAATAAGATAATGTATCCAAAAGTCATAATTAAGTTGTTAACAAAAATATATATTTTTTGTGACTATAACATGTAATTGTGTAGCAATGCCCTCATTGACAGGGGTCAATGATTCTGCATTCCTGTTTGGGATCACTAACAAGAAGTCAAGAACTACAATCGGTGCCATTTCGGTCTGACATTTAACAAATATCGTTCCCTGTAAATTGGGAATACTTCCCCCATTGGCAAACATGGATAATCATAAATAAATCTTTCGTTCTGTCAAATTTCTCTCCAACCTTCATAAGCATCAAACTCGAAACTTTTAAGTTAGAATTTTCTTAATATGAAGTTTTAGATCATATTGGTGGATATGCCTAGAAGAAGAAATGGAGAGTCAAGAATTAAAACTTCATTAGGTTTGTGCAATAACTAGCTACCCTCAATCTCATTCTGCAGCAAATTTGGAATAGGAAAATAAACGAGACTTGTATATTATGTACCTTCTTCTGTACGTGGAAGAGCCAAACTCGAGCAAGGGCATGATGCATTATAGAAGTAATTGATGAAAAGAAAAACCAGTCAAAGTGCTAGTTGATTATCTATGAGAATAATTCACTCATTGTAATCACTCCAGTACAGACTAAGTATGAAAAACACCTGGAGATCATTGATATATCAACAAGAAGCAAAGAATAGATGATATCTAACATGATGAGCTAAATTGGAGTTCTGTTAGAAAGTAGAACTAGCAAAATTATACTCAGTTTGAAAATTTGGTCCAATCTAGTCATTATGGATAGGATTATGGGTCTAAGAAGTTAACTTAAAATATGATATGACTTAAATAGAAATTATCCATCCGATTAGGTTGATTTAAGAATTAAGATTAGGTCAAGATTAGGTCAAGTCAATCCAAAGTAATACAATTAAAATTAAATAAAAATTTTAAGTTAAAATTTTAATTAATTATACTTTTAATTTTATTTTTTACTAAAAAATAAAATTAAATACTATAAATTAGTTATTATTTATTAAATTATTAAAATTAATATTAATTTAATAAACTTTTTTTTCATTAAATAATTAACTAATATTAAAATTATTAAAAAATTAATAAAATACTAAAATTTTTTATTTTAACTTTTTGAAAAGTTAAAGCCTACCCAACCGACCCATGTAGGTGGACCATGGATTTAATTTTTTTTTTAACTTAAAATTGAATATAAATTAATTCAATAAATCTAAAATTTGAGGTGATTGAATTCCACTTATTTACCACATTTATTACCAAGATAGCCTCCATTTTCCAGGGAAAATCATGCCTGCGTAAGAAATCCAGCCGGTTTCCTTTTTCGAAAACATAAAAAATAAAGAAGCCATAAGATTAGGTGAAGAAATTTAAAAGCAACACCAATTTCTAGTTGTGGCCGGATGAGATTTATTCAGCATCAGCATGATGCTTACCGGATGTCCCTTTCTGTATCTTCCCCAATGGGAAAAGGTCAGCAACTCAGCATCTGTGATGGTTACTTGGACTAAATATCCTACGAAAAAGTCGTTTCCATTGAATTGCAATGAGACTAGCGAGCATTCATAACAACCCTATACATGCAAATGCATGCTGATATGTAGCGTCTCCACTGGAGGTAAGACAACATCATCAATCGATAACCTTGTCTGCAATTCATTGCAAAGTCGAATATTGCATTGAAATATTTATACTGTAATTAAGCACCGCTTTTGTAGATCAAGATTCTTAATTATCCCTAACAACTATATCCTTGGATTCTTGATATTAATCTTAGGAATCATTCAAACCATGCAATATCCTAATTCATACCTAACAAAGATGGCTTGCAATTGTTTATTATTATTATTAGGACATTGATTAGTATATTATTTAATTTAACACACTATATAATATATTTATTAAAAAATTATTATTATTATTTTTTCGCCTAAAATTGAAGAAAAACAAACTTATTATCAACATTAACATGATTTGACCAGTTGCAATAATTCCATTCTTTTCCTAAGAAGCTGGGTTTTTAAAAAGATCTCATATGCACCAAGTGAAGGAAATAACTGAGCAGAACATCCTCAGATTGCGATAATGGAGGTAAGAGTTAATACATCATCAAATGATGGCCTTTTCTTCCATGAACACAACAATCAAATTAAGATTATATGGCCATTTTGATGGTAAAAACCACTCTTCCATGTCAAACCACATTACCAAATTGGAGACTTCATTTGGTTAGATATCTGAAACTCAATATGATTTTTAGCAACACACTAAGACACACATTAACAAATCTAATGAGATGTGGTTTTGGACCCAAATTAAGTACCAGATTTATGTTTCAAGACTCACTAAACAGCAAATGAGTGTACAGAAAATGACTTAAAATCCTTTAAATAAAAAGTCACTTGACACCTTTAGTACTTCAGCTTTGTAGCCTCCCTTGAAACTATTAGGACTTGGCTTAACGGAACAAGAGACCCCAGAAACATCTATCCATTTCTGGCATTAAGTTCTTACAGCAGAACATAATTATTTGGACTTTCATAATTTCACACCTCAACTGTCTAGTCTTATCAACTATGAGCTCGTTGCATGCTCCATTCCCTTCAAGCTAGCAACAATACCTCCCAACATCTTAAATGTGAGGTGAAAAGTTTGTTAGCTTGCCACCATCATAAGAACACAATCAATCCATTGGCTATTAATAATCCTTAGCACTGCCAAAGACAAATTTAGGCAACTTACTTAACTAAAATTACTATTATAATAACTTCACCATTTGAATGGTAAGCAACGCCGAGGTTATAAGCAAGTATCCGCATAGCAGTCTACAGAGCCTCCCTGAACAACATAAAACCTGAAAAGAAATTCCCTTTTTGCAGAAATTACTCTAATTTTCACATAAACAATCTAATTTTGCAAACCAAATTGGTCATGCATGCCATTGCATGGTAAAGTAAGAAAAAGAAAGAAGCTAAAGGTTCCAATACTTCGTGAATCTAAATTTATCTCAAACCAAAAAATATAGATAGCCTGAGTAGAGAATAACCTTCCTTGAAGCCAGAGTGTACAGAATTTCCATCTCTCTCTTTTCCTGAATGCTTACAGAGTCTCTGTCCTTAAGGAGGAACAAATCATAATGCTAATAAATCAAGCATTTTTATTACTTGTACATGGATACTCCATAACCACAATATACGAGAGCCAAAAGTGTTTTCTTCCACATTCAACTGCTAGAAAATCAAATTCACATAGGATTGAACTCAATCTAGAAAGCCAGTTTGTTTCCAGACAGCATTTCTTACCTGCCTTAGGCCTCTCCCTTTGAGGGTCCTCCCCACTCCCTCCAGCACCGAACAGGCCAGCATAGTGGACTGCGCCAAGCTCATTGCCACAATCTCGTGGAGGCAGAATCCCCCCTTCCCCATCGTCGTTTTCATCATATTCATTACCGAGTTCTCTGTTAACGGCACATTCATAGGCGTTAACTCGTGGTGTCTTCCCAGAGAAGAAGAAAGCTGCATTCTTTAAGTGGAGGAGGAGGGGCGGTCGGACGGCAGTGGGTATGTACCGAGGAAACGGTCGGAGGAGGGGGATTTCCGGTGGCGGAAGCGGGATGCTTCACTGAATTCCATGGAGGGTGTAGCTGTCGCCGAGTCGATTATAGGGGCCATATGGACTGGAATGCAAAACCAGGGGACCTTTTTTTTATAAATTCAACATTTTGCCATCCTGAAACCCTAGCCGCTTCACCTCCTATAAAACCAAAGTTTTCAGCTTTACACCGTCTTCTTGCCCGAGCCCTCATCGGAAAGCGGCCATCACCTCCCAATTTCCGTTCTCCTGTGTGCTTTTAGCCATGGTAAGGAAATCCATTCTTCTTTCGTTTTGCATCTTACTGTATGTAGTCAAATGAAGAAGCTTTCAATTTCACCATACCTCGGCTGAATGCCGATACCAAGCTTTTGCAGTTGGTGTCCTTTTATAGACTTACATGTAAAATTCTTGATGGGGATTCTGTAGTCGAGAAATAAGAAGGTAAGAGAGCCAAAGGAAGAAATTACTCTTGGACCTGCTGTGCGTGAAGGAGAACATGTCTTTGGTGTTGCCCATATTTTTGCATCATTTAATGACACTTTCATTGTAAGTACAAGCACATTTCCTTTTTATTCTTTGTAACGATTTGTAAATTGATATTACTTACTTTGATTACTTGCTTTGATATTTTTCTTGTTCTTTCCTTTGGCTTTAACAATTTGCAGCATGTCACTGATTTGTCTGGAAGAGAAACCATGGTTCGTATTACCGGTAGGTTCAATTTCATATTGTAATATTGTTAATGTTCATTTTGTATGCTAATGTTTTTAGTTGAATGCCATATATCTTAAGTTATTTTTATAAAACTTGAGTCCTTGCTGAGATTTCTGCTTCCCTAATTTAAGTTACACTGGTACTTGGTTGATCTTGAGTTTGCTTAAACATTATAATGGGAGTGGCTTTCGTGCACCATGAGTGCATTACTTAGAAGAAGTATTGCAAAATATTAGCAGAGGCAACTATAAGGTTTAGTTAGGAGTGAAGGTATATGCACTTTTATTTTTGAATGTGTTGGGAGTCTTTTCTGCACATTGTTTGGTCATCCATCTGTTTTTGCTGGTTGAAGGGCTGCATGGTGTTTAAAGTTTTAACTGCTGAAACAAATTCAGGTGGTATGAAGGTGAAAGCTGACAGGGATGAATCTTCACCGTATGCTGCTATGCTTGCAGCTCAAGATGTCTCACAGAGATGCAAGGTTATTCCACCTTTTTGTATTTGTGAAGAATGTTGTTATTTTGACTTTAGAACTTGGCCTTGATTTATTTCTTTCTTCTGATGATTTTTGGTATTGAGAAGGTGTAGTTTTTACTTGACAGGAGCTTGGAATTACTGCTCTTCACATCAAGCTACGGGCTACAGGAGGGAATAAAACAAAGACCCCTGGACCAGGTGCTCAGTCTGCCCTCAGGGCACTTGCTCGCTCAGGAATGAAAATTGGCCGAATTGGTAATATACATTCAATATTCACAATTATTTTAGAATGTTTCTTGAGATGTCACCTAAAACCCTGACTAAAACTTCTCTTGTCCAGAGGATGTGACTCCAATTCCAACTGACAGCACTCGTAGAAAGGGTGGTAGAAGAGGAAGAAGGCTGTAAATGGGCACCAGATACATTGGCAACACTCAGTCCATTTTTTTTTTTTTTTCTGGCTATTTGATGAAATGCTTGACTCAGACAATTTTTGTAGACTTGTTAGTCATTTACTTTTCATGGAATTATTGTTTAACATGGCAAATGTAATGTTATGAAATCTACCTTGGCTTCCTTCTCTCTTAATATGAATCTCCTTTATATTAAGTCACATGATAGGTTTATCATCTTTGAAAGTGCAAGTTTGCCTCCTCAATGTCCTCATTTTATTTCTTCTTTTTTTTTAAAAAAAAAATAATAATAATTGATTAAGCTTTTTTAGCCATTATTAAATTTGAGAATTTCAGTATAAATCTGAAAATTGAGGGCTCAAATTTGTATTTTAACCAATAAAATAACTAACCTCACCCGTAGTAAGTTGTGATACACCCGGTTCCACCGAACTAATCTATTCCTTCAATCGGAGGGCAGATAGCATCATTCCTTCCTTTAAAATGAATCCAAACGGACCCATTTAAAGAATCCCCCGCAGATGGCAACACTCGAGAACAATCACCTCACCGACCGCCATTCCCAATTTTGATTCTCTCCGTCCCGGAATCGCTTGAATTCACCGGTAAGTCGATTTCTCCGATTTCTCTCCCGCCGTTTCTGTTCCTAGTATTTTCTTCATCAGTAAGAAGCTATTAATCTATAAGCATTGATTGAAACAATGACGTTGTTCGAGTTTTTGATTTTCAATTACAGTCAGTTGCAATGGCGTCCAGATTCGCTTCCAGACTCATAGCGCGCAGGTTCTCAAGCGGAGGGAAGGTACTCGGCGAGGAGGAGAAGGCTGCGGAGAATGTTTACATTAAGGTACACATCCCTACATGGTTGATTTGTTTTTGTTCTCCCTGACCTCAGTATCTATCTAAAGCATGTGATGTGATAATATTCCGGTGAAGTAATCGTCGTGGTTTCGAGATTTTTCTTAGCTGTTTTATTGACGAACAATCACTTCTGTTGCTAAATCATTTTTAGTTTAATCATTGCAGCAGATGAATGTTTCCATTTAGCTGATAATATCATTTAATTTAAGGGATGGTGAAATCCTTATCTTCATTACTTCTTTTGAATATAGTTTTAACTAGCTGATCTATATAGTTTTAGTGGAAAAAATCTCACATAAAGTATTCAAGTAAGTGGGTTAAATATAAAGTGGGTTACTCCACCTATTGCTAATTAGTTTTAGGTTGGATGTAAATCTTGTGTTGAAACTCATATGCATAATTTTCACACTATGTTTACTTCCCTTTATGTTGTGTTATTGCAGAAAATAGAACAAGAGAAACTGCCGAAGCTTGCACGAAAGGTATGGTATTGATTCTATTACATTGATCTATCTTACCTAAATATTTTAGAGAACAGAGTATTATTGTATTAGCTTAAAGCATGTTTTGATCCTTTGTTTTATCTTTTAGTTTTTTTTCTTTACTATTATTATTGTGATCAAGCTTCCTTTATATTTTATCCAAGATATTGTGCAACAAGTGGAATTGCTTAAAATTAGGTTCACACACATTGCCTTCCGTCTACATGCCCCACAGAAGGCCATTACTCGTTCTTCTTTTCTAGTATATTAAGCAAGCGCATTCATAATTTCAACTTGAAGATTTGCTGGTGGTTTTAATTGTTGAATTATAAGTTTTTTAAACTTTGTTTTGCAAATGAATGTTCTCTATGCATGTTTGAACATATTGACCAAAGGAACACATATGTGGACCTTTTTGTGTTTTGCCACTTGCTACTATTTGTGTGAGTAAATTGCAGAGGTTGTTCGTAACTTCATGTCTTCAACTAGACTCTAAATAGAGTGTGCAAAAAAATTCCACTCATTTTACTGATTTAGTTGTGGAGAGTGCCATATAGTAATTGATCAAATTTTTAGCTTTGCCCAAAGAACTGCCCCATTTTTGTTTTGTGGGATATATATATCCTGTGTAAACTCCTTCCCTAGGATTTGCAATAATTTAATCTCCGTTAGGTTTATTGAATGAATGTGTTCAGGGACCCCAACCAGAGGAAAAGCCAGCTGCTGCAGGTTCAGGAGGGTCGGTGACTGATGCTAAGCCGAGTAGCTCTACAACATCAGGAGCATCAACAAAAAAAGTATCTACTCATAAATATCGAAACTATGCTGTTGTAGCTGGTGCTGTAACTGGTCTTGGTGCTCTGGGATGGTATCTCAAATCTCGTGGAGACAAGGTAGAAGTCCAGGGGGGGTGAGGTTGGTGTGCTGTAGAATGGATATGGGTAGTAGATGGTGACATGAAAATAAGTCATGCTGTATGAACAATTTATGCCATTATATTTACTTGGATTCTTTTGTTTTTTCGGGATGTTTTACTTTCAGGAATTTGAAGTATTCTGAGATGGAGATTTAAAACCGTATCTTTAGACATGAGAGGTTATTAATATCTGATTAAATTACAAAATGATTTTTTTTTTCTTTAACCTCCTTCAAAAGAACTACAGTATGAAAGAATGTTTACCATCAAAAAAAAAAAAAGAAACTATAAAATAGTGGATATAAAACCTAAAACTATTTATTCAAAAGAGTGGAAAAAGAAAAAATTAATAATGGTAAAAAAATAAGAAAGTGCCTTCTTTTTTTTTTTTTTTTTCAGACAGATTGCACATTATATCCGAACTCTTTTCACGTGTATTTATTAATGATAATTAAATAACATTTATTATTTATTTATTTTAAAGAGTAATTTTGATTAAAGTTTTTTATTTTATGAACATAAATTTTAAATAAAATTTTAACATATTTTATAAATAATAATTAAAATTTTTTATTAAATAAAAATACTTAATAAAAATTTTATACATAAAAAAATTTTAATCATCATTTATACTCCAAAAATTATTAAACAAAAATTTTATTTATCGCCTGCATTACATTAAATTGTAAAATAAAATAAAAATAATTAAATGAGAGAAAATCTTTAATATTAAAAAATTTACTTTTATACAATAATTAATGTAATATAATATAATTTTAAAGTACAATATAATTTTCATTATTAAATTTTCTCTAATAAATTTAAAAATCAAACTAAACCAATTAAAACTAAACAAAAAAGAGTACTTATTAAACTGCACTTATTAGACTGAAAAAAAAAGAACAAAAAAGAAAAAGAAGACAAAAAGTTGGACCGCCTACGCTTAGGAATCAATTCGCTGGTGGCGCGACCTTTTGTCATATCATATTCTGCTGCTCGCAACCCACTGCTGATCGCCGAGCGGCTGTGCTTGCGTTTACAGATTCAGAAGAAGAAATGGAGAAAGGAAGAAGAGAGGTGGTAGTATCAGCCTTGCAATTCGCTTGTACCGACGACGTCTCCACTAACGTCGCCACCGCCGAAAGGTCTATCTTCGCTTCCTCCACTCTACCCCTTTCTTCTTCCGTTCTCGTTTTCATTTTGCGTCTTTTTAGCTTTCTAATTCAGGGATCGAAATCGCCAATCAACTGTAGTTTAGGTTCATAGTCTTGTGTGCTGCTTTTCAAGTTTCGTTTTTGTCTTTCTGATGATGCTTGTTTTGAAGTGGTAACAGTTCGATTCAATGTGTAAGTTTATGGTATTAGATTATAAAGGGAATAACATTAACTATTAGGGTTTGATAATATTTCTCCGATTATGTGAATGATTTGGAGGCATCCACCCTTTCTTCTTTTCATTATTAAGTTATATTCATGATTTTGAGGTAATTCATGGTGGTAGCCACTTCACTCTCTTGAATACATAATTTGCGCTTTTTGTTGGCATTTTTGTATCATCTTTAGTGACCGAATATTTCCCTAATCCCGCAGGCTGGTTAGGGATGCTCATGGAAAAGGTGCAAATATCATTCTTATTCAGGTATGAGCTAATTCTCAAGTGTTTAGCATGCACTAAGAAATGATTTTACTAAGAACTGTCAATTGTATACTGAATGATTTTTACTGGGAAATGAGAATCTTGGTGCTTTGATCTCTGCTTTCTTTAGCAATAGTAGTATATATGCTTGTCTAATGCTGCTGCAGTCTTGCAGGAAATGTATGCTGATAATAGTTGATATACTAAAAAACATAAAAATATTAAATAAAGGAGGAGCAAGGGTAAAAGAAAACCGCATCTGCATTTATGTAATGATGTAATGTAGTTTCTGATATGACTATGAGTTTGAATAATGTGAATATGTGATGCTGCTGCCCGGGCTAATGTAATTGGCACAGCATTCATAGTGACTCTGTTTTCTTTGTTTTTGATGTTTTTTAAGCTACGATTCTTTTCTCTTAATGCATCATATTCACTTATTCAGGAGTTATTTGAGGGTTATTACTTTTGCCAAGCACAAAGGGAGGATTACTTCAAGCGTGCTAGGCCTTATAAGGACCACCCTACAATTAAGAGGTAAATTGATTGCCTGAGATTGCTTCTAGATTTTAGTTGGTTTGCCAGATCAGCATTAATAATCTTAAATGGGCCTCAATTTCTCTCTTCGTCTTCATATGTTTCAGTTGGACTTCTTACTATATAAGTCTTTATGTGCAAACTTTCAGAATGCAAGAACTTGCGAAAGAGTTAGGCGTGGTGCTACCGGTTAGCTTCTTTGAAGAGGCAAACAACGCTCATTACAATTCAGTGGCCATTATTGATGCTGATGGGACTGATCTTGGACTCTATAGGAAGTCTCATATTCCAGATGGACCAGGTCTTTGGAAAAGCAAATCCGTCACAGGTTAAACCATAATATCATTAATATATCTATCACTGTAATATTTTTTCCTCCACCTCTTTCAGGATACCAGGAAAAGTTCTACTTTAATCCAGGAGACACTGGCTTTAAGGTAGGTGTCTAGGTTAATTAACATTGATACCGTTTGCTGAATGCTGACTATTTCAAAAGACTGATATCTGGGGCAAGCTGCATTAATCAGTTAACATACCATGTGTTCATGCCTTTGTTAACAGGTTTTTCAGACTAAGTTTGCAAAGATTGGGGTTGGTAAGGTTTTTTTATTTTTTATTTTTATCTTTTCTGATGATGCTTTTAATTTTATTGAGAAAACTTCATTCTTGATTTTCATAAGATACTGTGTTTTGTTAGTTTGCCTGTAAATTGTATGTTGAAAAACTAAGCCAGTTGCTGTACTTTCATCAGCAATATGCTGGGACCAGTGGTTTCCAGAGGCTGCTCGTGCTATGGTTTTGCAAGGTGCTGAGATATTATTTTACCCTACTGCTATTGGCTCTGAGCCACAGGATACTGGACTTGACTCTTGTGATCACTGGAAGCGAGTGATGCAGGGGCATGCTGGAGCCAATTTGGTAAGTTGTGTGAGTTTTACTTTTTCATTTTTAGTCCTTGGCCTGATATTCAAGGAGGTAGATACCTGACAGTTTTAACAGACAAGCATGACACATCCACTAAGATTATTGCCCTGTTAGTGTATTTTAGGACTTACCTTGATCTTGACTCTTTTTTTCTATTAAATAATTTTCAAAAGGAAATGCTGTGATTTGGATGACAGTTAATTGATATTGGGTTTATTCAGGTACCTTTAGTGGCCTCAAACCGCATTGGGAGGGAAATAATTGAGACAGAACATGGGAAAAGTGAAATCACATTCTATGGGAATTCCTTCATAGCAGGTGTGAATTCTTCTCTTTTCCAGCATTCATGAGTCTATACATAAACTTTATCTTGTTGAATTATGTTCAAATATTTCTGTTTCGTTGCCAGGACCAACTGGGGAAATTGTTGTGGCTGCTGACAGTAAAGAGGAAGCTGTACTTCTTGCAAATTTTGATCTTGATAAAATCAAATCCAAGAGACATAGCTGGGGAGTATTCCGTGATCGGCGTCCAGAATTATACAAGGTGATTCTTACACTGGATGGCAGGAATCCTTCACCATGATTCAGAGCCCAAAAACAAGCGCCATTGGTAATGTTATCCCCAACCATTAGCATCCCACACATTTGTCTCCCATTGCTAGCAATATGACTATAACTGAGGAATAATAATTTGTAACAATATTATCAAAGTTATGAGAAACACATTCATAACACGTTGAACTGCCTTGTGTCTGGTGGAAAACATGTTCTGTTCTTGCTGAAACCCTTTTATTAACTTTCGGAGCATCTTTATTCTCCAGAAAAGTATTTGCCTTCAGTGCTTTTCATGTTGTAAATTTTCTTTTATGTATAGAAGGATTAATGGATCTTGACTTATAGGCCAAAAAATAAAGATCTTGACTTAGGTTGCTTAGAACATGAAGATGGAGGACTATGGTATCCGTTTGTGTTTGAGGTGATTACTAGTGTAACAAAAGCAAGCATAAGAGGGCGATTGTATCACATAGGTTGCATATACTTGCCTGAAAGTACTGAGTTGATAGTTGATGCATATACAATCTTAGAATATCAGTTGTCATCGAATGAGAGTGAATGCATATTGATTCGCACGTCTTGTCGAATGAAAATTAAGAGTTAGTTGTGATTGTGAAATAAGATTGTATACGAATCATTTTGGACACATTGAATGATCTAAAACTGATTGAAAGAAATAGGCTTGGCAATGTAAAGGAAAAGGGTCTGAAAATGCTGTGATTGCTATGAAGATGAATTCAAAAACATACAGAAGAAGAAGAAGAAAACGCAAAATCATTTTATCATTCTGCCAGATAGAACTCTGTTCTCTACTCCATCTGGAATTCCAGCGTTCTTGGAAGAAGACTGAAAGACAGAAACATCGGAAATACATTTTTGCCATGAAAAACATATCTGCTTCTAAATCTAAACCAATTGTGGGTTCCCTTCTTCATCTCCATCAAATTCTTCCATATCCTCCATTCCTTCTTCATCTTCCTCTTCCAAGATTTCATCATTTGGGTGCACGAAATGCATCTTCAACCGCCCATCTTCCCTCCAAGAATGCAAGAATTCCCGAGTTGGAATTCTCACCTCCCTCAGCACAAGCCGTCCATCTTTCCTATGCGGTTTGAACCAAAACCAAGGCTTCCCGCTCTCCCCTATACAAGATATCGGCGGCGGAAACGTTCCTCCGCCACTTGTTCTCGACCTCCTGAATTCCCCACACAACAAGCTCCGTCCCGTCTCCATATTCTTCGAACATTTAGCGTTCAGTCTCTCCTCTGGGCTCCGCCGCTCTTCCCTTAAATCCTCCACAATGTCGTCGGAGCTCTCCACCCCTAGTCCTTCGGTGCACAGCTGCAAGCTCTCCGAGTTCATCACTGAAAGACCCTCACTCCTCTTATGACAATCACCGTAGCTGTACGAGGGTGTTAGAGGGTCTTCCTTGAAATAGAGTTCACCGAAGATTTCAGTCAAAGACGGTTGTGGATCAACAGGGTTTTTCACAGACTTGATTGGGTTCCATGCGGAAAGGGATTCAAGCAATGTTGGGTTTTCCGGCAACGTATTATCGAAGATGTGTTGCAGACTCCCGTAGGCCGCCATGGATTGGCACTCCGGTGTTAATTTTTCTCGACGAAGAAGATGCTTGCGAGGAAAGGAAGTGAGAAAGAAAATATATAAGGAGATAGGGAGAGTAGAGGAAGTAGAAGGAGATAAGATGGGTTGAAAAAATCAAAGAGAACAAGTATGTATTAATTTGCTGCCACTTCTGGTGGAGTAGAATAAGGATGTGTGGTATGGCCAGATGGATCTTGTTATTTTTGGATTTTTTTTAAAAAAACCTTAATCAATTCACAACTACTCATTTGATGCTAATTTTAGAATCAGTATTCGAAAAAATTAATTTCTTGAGTGTGTTAATTTTTTAAATGCATTAAAATGATATAAAAGTATAAATTTAAGATTACTTAAAAAGATCTTAATTTTGAAATATGTAAAAATATTTTTTCCCATAAATAAAAGAAAAAAAAGTTTGTTATTGAATTTTTTTTTTTCATCCCCAAACTTGTTCTATGGTTGTAAATAACCGGTGAGAAAGATGCCAAATCGTGGATGTGTAGAGGATATTATGAGGATGTATGCATTCTTATGTGGCTTCCACAATCCACACACCATCATCGTTTTATCTATTGTAAACCCAACAATAGAATTGACAAAAACAAAAACACTATTAAATGGTGATGGCATTCTTTCTTTGTTGACATTTTCCAATGATGCTATCTATCTAAAATAGAATGATTACAGGGCCTTGAAAGCCTTGGCCTTCAACAGATATTTCAGCTTTATGACAATAACATAACATTTTCCACACTTCTAATTATTTGGTGGGAGTTTCTGGACCGTTGGAACAGGAATGGTGACCTAGATGCCCAAGTTTTTCCATACAAAGAATGGATAAGAGAGTGTTACAGATGATGTGCTTGATTGTAGTTTTCTCTTCTGTAATTTTCATTGCCACCAGCTCTTAGAATATTCTGAATATCCCTTTTTCCATGTCCACTCCTTTCCTGAAGGAGATAATATTTGACAACATGCATATACAATCCTCTGGTGCAGACAACCCCAGCAAGTCTTTTTTTATCATCATCATCATCGATGCTGAACATTTGTATTCCATCTTTAATACACTCTTACCAACATATATTTGCTTTACCATGAGGATTAGTGCATCTGCCTATAATCCCCCTTGACAAATTCAGGTAGAATATTAATGGAAAAAGCTTCATTGACAGTAGTTTAGATCAATATAATTACAATGTTAAAGCAGTAGCACTTTATGAAAGCAGAAATGTTAGTGTCTGGCTATCTGAGTTTCATACATGGCGTTGGAGAAGGTTAAAGGTTAAGCAAAGCACTCAGCACACGGTGAAAGATACAGAAAATGTGCATCAAATTTCAGGTCACAACTTCCAGACCAAACAGACTTACAGAGGAATTTTGTTAATGAGTCAGTTAGGACCCGCACATGTTGTGCATCTTTTACCGCCAAGCTTCAATACGCTGTATCCCTGAATCTATACGGCTCAGATTGCTTAGGTCCTTGGTCTTCTCAACAGAAGTTATCATCTGAAGTGCAGAATGCAGCCGGTTAGTTTTTCTAGGCCCCCTTTTAAGACTTGAATTACTTGATTGACCAATTTTGCTCTTCCCAGCTTTGGCTTGTGTACCAGCTTTGGTATCTGTTGCACTTATGCTGGCAACTTGAGCCGACATCACAGAGGAAAGATCTGCATCTGCTATTAGCTTCAGAACAGAAGGCACCAGTCTTTCATATTCTCCATAACTTGTCTCATTATTTTGATCCAAGGAACTTTCTTTGACAGGTTCTTCAACAATAAAAGCTTCATCTTTCCCTTCATTATCCTTTTCAGCATCTTGAAGGAAGGATTGTGAATGGCTATGATCTTCATTCTCATCAGAAGGCTCCAGACGAGATGCCAAGGTTGGCTCCACCACTGAATCCTCTCGTTCCCGAAGAGTCCTTAAGATAAGCATCTTGAGAAAGTTCATCACTTGGACTGCATACATCAATGCAGTCAAAGGATCTGCCATCTGTAACAAACATGAAAATGAGAACTAGCAAGTCCCAAAGAAAACACTGGTCCCATTGATATCTAGACATCTGCTTTCATTGAAAACCAATAAACCAGAACACATGCAGAATCCAAAAACAAATATACTTTGAATCATCTTAACTAAAAGATCTAACTCATATAATTTAGTGCTAAGCACATGACATCTTAATTTACTGCTATTTATATAGCAATGCCTCTCTGCTGGAATAAATATGGGAATACACAATTAATTCACCTGAGTCATGTTTGGAGCAAAAACCATAGCAATGTTACGTGCATTCATTTTGTTCAGATGTTCGTGTTCCACAACATCTGCCATGAGATTAATGGTCCAATCCAATAAAGCAGCTTCGGTTGGGGGTAGATGCCTTACAAGCTCGGCACACTGCTCATCCGTTTGGCATTGCATTACCTGCTCAGGGGATAAAGAATCCAGAACTCCAGTTGGAAGTTCTCTGAACCAAGCCTAAGGTACCAATACAACAATAAGAAGTATTAGACAAATGTGAAGATGAACTTGGCGATGATACAAGTGTGCTCCATTGTATTCATTTTGATTTGCATGCTACATATCAACTTACCCAGAGCAAATGAGCAACTATTAATGAAAAAATTCTTATCATATAAAAGTGACAAATGAGAAATTTGGAAATTTTAGTTTATCATCCCATCTGGAATTGGTAACAAGCATTCAAAAACCTCCAGGCATGAATGTAAAGGAAGAAATGACTGAGATTAAATTGAATTGTTATACCTTAATTAGGCCTGCCAAACAATGTACATCAATCCCTTCTGGCACCACACCACTATTTAATTGGTCTCTAACATACTCCTCCTGACTGTTTTCTGCATTAATTCTAAATATCCCTTCAGCCTGCAAAATATCATCAACATAAAATGAAGGTCAATAAAATTGATACAAATGCAAAGCAACCAAAAATGTCTAAAGTAAGACTACTCTCTATGCCACAAATTAACCGAGAAGGTATATTAAACAAAATTTACATACAAGGTGTCACTATAGATTAGAAGATTGATAAGAAAGGATAAGAAGTGAAAAGAGAACCTGCAAGCCTCCTTGAGCATATAAGCGCCTTTGCATAAGTAAGAGTATTGTTGGCACACTGTTCCCTCTGGAGTCATATGACAACTGCATGGATTCTGTGGAAACTCCAAAAACGGTGGTACTAGGGGGGAAATGAAAAGGGTATTAAAATGATAATGGAGATACATGACCATGCAAACTAATAGTTAAGTAATTAGGACAAGACATGGTCATCACAGATTCATAAATGTAAGATAATCATTGAGGAGAAATAAATCTTTAAGGCCTTTGTGATCAGAGTTACATTACAAGTAATAAGTTTTCATAAGAATTTCTAGTAAGCCAGCTGAAATTTGAGAAATTTTTCATAAATATGACTACTATTGTTTTACGAGAACATCCCAGATGAGCACTTCACCTAATACTGTGCCTAACAAGTAGTACTTGAGTTTTCAGAAATTTCAATGCCACATTAAAGGACCACCCAACCCCTACTTTTGACCTTTTCAAGACACTTGTTTTCCTATCAAAATTGATCATCACACTATTTTTAAAAGGATTTATCTAATTTGTGCCTTTAAGGGTTTAATACACTTTTTAATATTAATTAGTATAAAAAATAACAACTATTGACATTAATTTTATTACTAATGCTATATGTATCATTTTAATTTGATGGTTAATTAAATAAATGTCAAGTTTTATTTTTGCAATGACAATTAATACTAAAAAGGTGCTTTTAACCTGTACATTTAGAAAAAAAAAAACCTTTTTCAAATCCTACATGCTGTAGAACATCAATGCGGACAGAGAGAATGGGTGACAGACAGCTAATACCATTTAAACCCACCAAACAATCAACTAGATTCAAATGATTGTGCCTGTCTCTATGTGTTAATTCAAAGCTTTACAATTGTCTTCAAAATCCACATCAAACCCAGCTAGCTAGATGGCACTAACATTTAAACTAAAAGGTTAGCATTCATTTGAAGGAAAACTTTTGCAAGTCATAACCAGTCAGTTAAGTCAGACTCTTAACAGACCAAGTTTGAAGCAATGTTTCATCTTTAAACTAAAATGTAAACATCCATCACAAACCATGTGTGTGATAGAGTATGAAAAAGCAAATGAAATCAAAATGATGGCAACTTGAATTTGAGTTTTAGCAATTCTGTCTCCAGAAAACATGGTGCATTTAGAGATTATGAGTGCATTAATAAGCCAAAACCAAGTCATCTGTTGCCAAAAACTAGAATAGTTGAAATTTTGACATTTCAAATTACTGTTTCATAATTTATAATTAACTCTTTCATGTTTAGATAAATGAACAGGACTTTCACCAACTATCGTTGATCAATTAAAGCCAAATCAATACCTTTTTCCCCTATCTCCTTCGGGGGGTGGGATTAATAATTAAGGCAGAGAAGCTACATCTTACCAAAACTGTATTGCTCAAATCAACACAGACGTTAGAGATCAAATATCCAAGCAAGATAAGCTCACATTCATAGTTCAAGAATTCTAAAATTAAGTCCCAAGCATTCCATATACCAATACAGCACCACAGATTTTTGGAAGAAAGCAGGAAATCCATAGTTCAAGAAATTAAGCAAAAACAGGTAAACCCCAAAATGTTGGGGAAGTAGAGGACCCCAAATGCTTCATTCACATTTCAATAGAAATCAATGGGCAAAAACTAAAGTTTGACAAACGAAAAGGAAAAAAAAAAAAAAAACAGATGTACCTGGCACTGGGAGCCCTCCTGGACACTTCAGGCTCGAACTCCACAGGCAACCCCAAGAACCCATTAAACCTGTCAAAGGTGACATGGACCACATGCCTCACATTGGTTGGCCAACCGATCTCCATGGCACAAAGCTCCCTCCGGTCACTCTTGCAGGCAGCCAAAGATTTTCTAAAAACGGTCACGAGCAAAGCCAACAAAGACAACTGATCTCTGCTCTGCTTCTCTCTCTCCTTCACCTCCTCTTCCGGATCACCGACCCTCACGCTGAAATCATCGTCTCCATCCTCAGTTCCGCAGGATAAAGAATTCTGGGGTGCGCAGGAAATGGGTGGTGGAGAAGGGGAAGAAGGAGATGAAGTGCCCGTGCTTGGAGATGAAGGGAAATGGAGGACCTCGGTCATGGCTAGCAATGAAAACAAAGTTTCCTTAGAATTAAAAAAAGAACTAATCTGTCCCCTTTCTGTTTCAAGAAAACAAAATTATTTAGCAGGATTGTGTTTTGTTGGAACAATTGGGAAATTAGGAACGATGGAGTTGGATTGAAGGAAAAGGGTATATAGAATGTGGGACGTGAGAATCATTAACTAAATCCACTATCTGAAAAAAAAAAGACAAATAAAAAACCCATCTTGTTCCTTGAGTTTTGGTTTTTGGTGCATTGAAACCAAAATTTGGTGGGAAAGAAAACAGTGTAACTAATGATTATCCAAATGTGACAGCTTGAGGTTGAAGATGAATACTTTATGGCTTGTGGGGTTTGTAAAGGTGAGGGCGATGTTTCCGATCACATTATCACCGGAGCTAATTCCGGAAACGGCAGGAGAAGGACGGAAGCACTCAATTCGCTGCTTCTTTTACTTTTTCACCTTCTTTGGCATCGAAAACTGAATGTGGGTTTTAAGTGAGTTTTGCATTTACAACACAATTCATTGTTTGGTTGTCAGCAAATATCATTGAAAGCGCTTTTCCGACGATCTTTACAAAAGCAATCTTTTTTTTTTTTTTCTAAACTAATCCTCCCATTGAGCAAGCACTTTAGGTTCTTATTAATTCGGGGTTGAATTGGGTTTTTTATTTATAAAATTTAAATTTAATATTTTATTTAAATAAAATTAAAATTTTTTCATTTTAACTTAATTTAAAAAAAAACAAACTTTTTCTATTTAAAGCATAATTGGGGTATAAAAGCACTTTTGGCCTTGTGGAAATTATCCCTTTGATACGGATATGGTAGTTGTTTTTTCTTTTGCCTTACTGCTAAAATCTTATCATCTACGCACTTGGGCATCTATGCACTTGTGACTTTGGTCCAGTGTCATCAGGTCAGGTATAAATATATTCTTTCATTTTTAAGGTAACGATTTAAATTTGGCTTCTTATGAATTTATTTAAAAGAATTTTTTTTATCATCTACAAATCCTATATATAGATCACTATGGACAGAGACAATATTATATGCAGTATATACACAAAAAAATTTTAATGACATGTTAAATTATTATAGGTATGATAATTATTATTTTAAAAAATTTTTAAAGTACATAATAAGTAATAATTATTTTTTATCTCTCAATTCATATTTATATTTTATATAATTCAAATTTAAAATTTTTTATTTTTATTAAAAAAATTACAAATCAGTTGCTTAAATAATTGTCATTATTTTGTTGATATAATACAATATTTAATTGAATGAAACTCATAGATTACTGCCTCATACAAAATATTAACCAAACAAATGTACATTTCAATATCAACTTGCTCCTAATCTTTCCCAACTGAAATCCTTTTAAATTTCACAATTTTCGGACGTAAACTTGAGAAGTGAGACACTTGAAATCTGTTGCATATATATAAAAGAATAATATAATGAGAACCAACATGATGGTAGTATTTTTTTAATAAGATAATTATATATTATAATTACTTACCGTTTTTTTTAACATATTATAATTTTGAGAGAGAAAAGATTTAAATTTCAACTTTAAAATTGAAAGACACATCTTACGATAACACATATAATTATTGAATTACAAAGTTCAAATGCTTATAACTACTTACAATTACAAATTAATGTTAGAGAAAATAATATTAATAATCAAACTCAAAATTAAGACTAAAATGTTGCCCCATTAAATCCTTACCA